TAGTTATTGTTACAGTTACCGTTAGTTATTGTTACAATTATTACAGTTACTGTTACAGTTATCATTAGTTATTGTTACAGTTACCGTTAGTTATTGTTACAATTATTACAGTTACTGTTACAGTTATCATTAGTTATTGTTAGTTACCGTTAGTTATTGTTACAATTATTACAGTTACTGTTACAGTTATCATTAGTTATTGTTACAGTTACCGTTAGTTATTGTTACAGTTATTACAGGTACTGTTACAGTTATTGTTAGTTATCACTAGTTATTGTTACAGTTACCGTTAGTTATTGTTACAATTATTACAGTTACTGTTACAGTTATCACTAGTTATTGTTACAGTTACCGTTAGTTATTGTTACAGTTATTGTTACAGTTATTGTTAGTTATCACTATAGTTATTGTTACAGTTACCGTTAGTTATTGTTACAGTTATTGTTAGTTATCACTATAGTTATTGTTACAGTTACTACAGTTATTGTTAGTTATCATCATTATTGTTACAGTTATTGTTATCAAACCCTAACCATACAATAAGTACATGTAATTAATTAATATTACTCAGCAGTTATCTTCAAAGTTATCATTACAGTTATCATTTTAGTTATTGTTACAGTTATTGTTAGTTATCACTATAGTTATTGTTACAGTTACCGTTAGTTATTGTTACAATTATTACAGTTACTGTTACAGTTATCACTAGTTATTGTTACAGTTACCGTTAGTTATTGTTACAGTTATTGTTAGTTATCATCATTATTGTTACAGTTATTGTTACAGTTATTGTTATCAAACCCTAAACATACAGTAAGTACATGTAGTTAATTAATATTACTCAGCAGTTATGTTAAAAGTTATCATTACAGTTATTGTTACAGTTATTAAAATGATCTTCACAGTTAACAGTACAGTTATAGTTCCAGTTATCATTATAGCTGTCACAGTTAACATTATAGTTATCGTTACAGTTGTCGTTATAATTATAATTGAACGAGTTGCGGTCGTATTAACTTCAATAGCTTTTCCATGTGATTATTGTGTAACATATTCATTGAGCAGGTAAAGATTCAGCTGATGTTCCCAGAACAAACATGTCATTTAATTTCAATTATTCAGTCATTAAACTTAAGAGTTTTATTGATTTTTTTTTTTAAAGAATAAGTTCGTAAGAAAAATAAAATAAATAAATATTTTGGAGAGATGCATCATGGGAAATGTAGTCTTCTCCGATGTAGGCAGCGTGAATCAAAGTAACACACAAAAGAATAGTTAAAAACACATTTTAAGGACTTTGTATCAGCTGCCTTGAATACATATTCTCATGTTAATGTCATATTTCAATAGGTTAAATCGCAAATGAAAACATTGCTTTCAAAAGTTATTGAGCAGTAAGATTTGTAATGTTTTTTAAAGAATTATCTTCGGCTCTCCTGCATTTATTTGATCCAAAGTACAGCAAAAGCTGTAATATTGTGAAAGAGTCTGAATCATTTATTATTATTTTTTTTTTTTTGTGTGTGTGAAAAAAATTATAGAAGTTAGCAAGGATGCTTTAAATTGATCAAAAGTGATGAAAAATACATTTATAATGTTGCAAAAGATTTCTATTTCAGATTAATGCTGCTCTTCCGAACTTTCTATTTATTAAAGAAACATGACAAAATTCTACTCGGCTGTTTTCAACATAATAATAATAATGATAGCTGTTTTAAAAATCGTACGGTGTTTCGTTCCTGGAATGAATCTGTTTTTGATCGAATCGAGTGAGCCGGTGATTCAACGGTTCATTCACTAGTTTAGCTTCTAATTGAAGCGGCCGTTTTGAACGAATCGTTTGATTTGAATGATTCACTATTTTTGAGTTAAGTCGAGTTATAAAGTCTGAATGAGGAGATATAAACTTGCTTTTGCGAGAAAAAAAAGTCAGAATTGTGAGGTAAAGTAAATAAATGTTAATAGTAAGGTTTAAATAATATTTCATGCTGTAACTGTAGGGCTAATAATTCTCTCGCGAGTTTGAGCGAGGACACGGGCGTCACCCCGCGTCGTTATTTTCCTTACTCATCAGTTTAAGGCATAAGGCGCCGAGTGCTGCGCTCGCGGTGGTCTTCCCGCGCGCCCTGCTTCTCCGCGACGGTGAGGAGCGAGCGATAAACGCGCAGTGCGCCCGCGGGCCACCGATAACACCCGGCACTCCTCCTCACACACACACACCACACGAGTGCACTTAATAGTGTACGGAGCGAGAAAAAGCCTTATTTGTGGCTCGAGCGAGGTCTTCGGCCGGTGCATTGTGGGATAGGCCGTGACGTCACCGCGTCTCGCTTTCTGGAGGCGGAGCTTAGCGCTTCTTTCTTTCTCTTTGTTCCTTTAACGCTGTTATGATAGTTTAACACTGTGTGATCCTCTATATATGCTTGTTGTGTATGAATCAACTAAACTCTTGGGAAAAGGGAAAAATTTCCCTCATTTTGTTAGTAATAAAGCATTTGTGAGGTAATGACCAAACTTGCTTCCAGGGAATATCAGTTACAGAACCATTGCAATCAGAGATTTTAATAAAACATACAGAAGATTATTTATTATTATTCCAGATTAGATATGAGTGAGGTGTATAATTGTGTTTAAAAATGTACCAAAACATTCAAACCTGCTTGTTTGGGTCATTAATATAATGTTTTTTGCTTTCGTCACGTTCATTAATATAAAGAATGTAAGAATAATAAAAAACGTAATAGTTGCAGAGGTACTTTGAAAATAGTTCAAATGTTTGTTGTTGTTGTTTAGTTTTTTGTATCTATGTAATGTTTAAAGTCCGCATGAAATCAAAATTGACTTTATTTACTTTGAAATCCGCGCTGCCTGAGCTTCACGAGGGCGCCGGCTCCGCCAACTA